GCCGCCCGCCCTCCGCCCCGCCGGCAGCTGCCGCCTCCTCCCACGCAGCGCGGCCCGGGCGAGGGGGAGGCGGCATCTGGGTCACAGGCCCCCTCGGACTCTCGGGACGCTGTCCTGGCCTCCCCGGAAGGCTGCAGCCCCGCATCGCGTCGGGCCGCCCCTCCGCCCCTCCGCAGGCCTGGCACAAGACGGATATTTGCTCGCACTCCGGGAGGCCCCATGGCCGGGAAGAGACTCAGCCTCCGGGGCGGGGGGCCGGAATGGGGGGTTCTCTCTTGCCCCGACTGACCGAAATCTTCTCCAGCCCAACCGCTCGCCCTGCTAACGGTTTCCTGCTTCAGAGGCTCTCCCGGAACAGAGGGGATTCGCGGGGCTGCACGGAGGGCCATTCATTTGGCCAACACCCCGGAGGCCCCATTCAGGTCCAGGGCTGGACTGGATGCGGTCCGCCAGGCCCCAGCCGTCCAGACGCTCAGCTCCCAGGGGGAGATGCCCTATCCACGAATAACTTTAAACAAGGTGACTCCCCTGCCATTTCCAAATACAAAATGCCACACATCTGAACTCGAACCCGTGAGCTTACCTCCACCTCCACCACCACCCCTGTCTTCCCCCTGGACCCCCATCTCAGCAAAGGCATCCCATCTCCCAGTTCTGCGAGGCCCCCTGGCCACCACTACTTTTGATTCCTCTTCTGTCCTCACCCACCTCATCCAAAAGTGCCCATTCCATGTCTGAGATATGTCTCCCCTCTGTCCTGCTTATTTCCACTGCTGCTCAGAGGACCAAACCTCTATCATCTCTCATGTGGACGGCTGCAGGATTCTATTGCTGGGACCCTTTGCACCCCTTTGACCCCCTACAAACAGGCCCAGTGATCATTTAAATACACGTCTGATTTTGTCACTCTCTTAAAACTCCTCAGGGCCTTCCCAATGCTTTTAGGATCGAGGCCATCATCTTTCAGGTGGCCCAGCTGGCTCTTGTCACCACTGAGACTCAACTCTCCTTTGCTCTGTATGCCTCAGCCTGTGATGCTCCACTCCTTCCTGTGGTAGCACATACTGCCCCCCTGGCCTAGAGTTCTCTGCTGCACCCTGTCTCCCCACCCCCAAGCCCCAGCCTCTTTTGCCTAGGACTTTCTACCACTGTTCAGATCTCAATTCAAATGCCACCTTCCTGGGGGAGCCTTTTTTGATACCCCCCTCCCACTAGATGGCCCCTGCTCTACCCTCTCCTAGCATCCTGCATTCATAGCATGTATGCCCATTTGTTGTTTTTTATGTATATGATTATTTGATTGATGTCTGTCTCTGCACCAAGTGCGTAGGCTCCCTGAGGTCATGAACCATGCCTGTCTCATTCACCATGGTAGCCCCAGTACCCAGCAAGTGCTTGGAGCATAGCAGAGCCCATGGTTGAGCTCCCTCCTCCTGCCCCCATCTTTGGCATCACTGGGGAGCAGAGAAGTGACATCATAAAAGCTACCTCCCAGGCCTTTGTGGAATGGGGGTCTATGTGGCTCACCAGGAGGGTCCCAGCCCATGTGACTACCCTCTTGGCATGAGAGGTTAGATCATTTTCATCAACTGCTCAAAGAGAGAAGGTTGCAGGAGAGTCCACATCAACCGTGATCAAATCCCACTGCTATGTCCCTGGCTTTGTCCAGCTACATCTGGAAAAGGATATCTCCTTCCAAACATCTGGATGAGAAGGGCTGGTCAGAGGCCTGTGAAGCTCCTGGGAGAGATGGCCCAGCAAGCTCGGTCCAGGGCTCGGATGGCCCGATCCTGAGATCTGTAGGGCAGCTTGTTTACAAAGCTACACGCAGGACAAGCCCCAAGAGCCAAGGGATAATAAAACATGGCCTTTGTCCCCCCTAGGCTGGATAAGGAGTCTCTAGGGGTATTGGGTTAGCACTGCACACGTCACTGTCCCTCAGCCTGATCCCTCCTCGGGGACCATCTGCTGGAGGTTGACGCACCCCTTGCAGGGCACAGCAGCTCTGCCATCCCTTTATCCACTCTCCTGGTCACTTGTTCTCTGCACTATTATCCCTCTTCCCCGACTCCCATATCTCACAGGCAAACCTCACTTCACAGTTTTCTTGGCATCGCTACATATATTTCCCTCCTTTGAGCCTAACAAAAGCCCCATTTTACAGATGAGGATGCTGAGGCTTGGAGACCGGAGGCAGCTTGCCCAGCCTATGCAGCTGCTAAGGAGCAAAGCCAGCATGGGAATCCATGTCTTCTGGCTCCAAATTCAGCATTGTTTTCCCTCTTAATTCTTATTTCCTGTCTGTCTGAATAGCCCTCCAGTCCCCTTATCCTTAAAGCTCCCAAGAGCTCAACCAGAGCTCACTTCCAGGCTGTGATCTGGCCCTGACACTGGGGGGAGGTGTGAGAGCTTCTTGTCTGACAGTCTGAAAATAAGGCAGATTTTCACGGACCCAGAGAAGATATGCTGACCACCAAGATCTGTTCCATGTGCCTCGAGTGGTCCCTAGCCAGATTTCTGGGGAGGTCTCTTGGGGTGTGGGGGAGAGCAGCTTTCTAGGTGGTCTGGCTGCCAGTCCTGATGCCCTCAGCACTCACCCTCAGGCCCCCTGGGGCACTCCGCTCCCCCCCCCCCGCCCGCCCCCAGGGGAACGCCTTTTGCATTAACCAAAGGCAGGATGATATCCCCAATGAAGGGTTTTCAGGAGCGCTGAGCCCACTTTTAAAATAAGGCAAATCTGAGAGGGGAAGGGTCTGTTCCAGGCCACACAGCAAATTGGAGGAAATTCCAGAACTGGAGCCAAGTCTCCTGGCTTTTAATCCAGTGCTCTTCCCAGTGCACCCCGTATCGTCACCCCTCCCCCACCATGTGTGTCACATAGCCAGTACTCCTTGTTCTAGACAGTACTTCCACATTTACTTGTCTCATCTATTGCACAATAGCCCTGTGAATTAAGTCTTTTTGGGGCTATTTCACATTAGGAAAAATAATCATTTGATAGATGGAGTGACAGAGACACAAAGAGTTAAGAATCATGCCCAGCAAATCAAGTCTTCAGGCTTCTAATCTTTTCATTAGACCAAGCTGCCTCGTGAACATGGCACCCTCCAACTGAATGATGACCCTTTCCAGAGCAGCATTTGTTGGAAGTTACCTTGGGCTAAATCAGGGAGCTGTGCATTTTAGGTACATTACCTCATCAAAGGCTCACCCTGTGAGGTAGGTATTAGCATCCCTGTGTTGTAAAGGAGAAAACTGAAGTTCAGAAATGCCCACGTTAATGGTGGTGAGAATCAAACTCAGGTCTATCTGACTTCAAAGGCCACCATGTGCCTTAAATCATGTAGGAAAGACCCACAGGCCCCGACCCAGTGCCTGACATATGACAGGTGTTCACTGAATGTTCACAGAGGGGGAGGGGAGAGAGAGGTTATACTCTCCGTTGAGACCCAGCTTGTGTCGGCAGAGGGCGGAGCGGGGGTGGTGCTGGGTTCAGATAGGAGATCTGTGTGTGATTATCTCATATGGGGCAAGATGCCGCCATCAGGCAGATGCCCACAGTGACAATGGAATACACCCTGCTCCTTATTCTCACATCTCTGAGTGTGGGGGATTTACGCCCTGCCTCTGACCCCAGGGAGGCTGGCTGCCCCAGTCCCATGGCCCTTGCCACTGTTTATCTGGCTTTCTTTGTACGTGAAGCTCTTCTTCTCTGAGAGTTCCCTGAGGGCAGAGGCTTAGCAGGATACATCTGGGCCCCCCACGCCCAGCCCAGGGTCTGGGCCACAGCAGGCATCGTTCAGCACGCCCTGAATTGAAGCATTGATGTCTGCTGGGGGGAGGGCCCTTTGGTGAGTGCTACAAAGAGGGGTCTATAAGTCAGCCTCTGCCAGATGTCCAACTGCTTTCTCTGCTCTGAGAGGGTCTGCTCCTCTAAGAATCTAGACAGTCTCTAAAATTGGGCTCTGGCTAAAAGGACAAAATGCCATGTAGGAAAAATCTGCCCACTGATCCTTTATGCCATTGCCCAAATGCCACCACCTTCAAGAAACCGTCCATGATGCCTCTGCTTGTAAGTGACCTCTCCCTGCTTGGGTGCCCTCACAGCCCACAGTCTGTCTCTCCTTCCATCTTCCATCCTGTCCATGG